AAGTAAGCAACACATGTGAACAATTATTTGTCTTAATGTATATTTGCTTTGGTAATTATCTTGTTAGTTATACAAGTTTATGGGGGTAATTGTTGAATAAAGGTGGGAAAATATGCATTTTTTGTTAGATTCACGGTCAGTAACTCTGTTAATGCTCTTTTAATATGGTCATCCGCTTATCTCTGAGTGATTGCACGTACTAGTAGAACTTTCTATCACGGTGGGCAACTGTATGACAAATACTTTGGAGGTTGCAATTTTTTTTTTAGCTCAAAATACCAAATTTGAAGAAATTAAGGGCAATAACCCTGTCTCCAGCATTGAAGCCACAACGGATTTGATGCTATCATACATTTTCGTACAAGTTAAGGGTATACCTTACCATATATCACTATAAAGTTTATTCACCCAAAATGGTACCGACCACCCCCAGTGGCTCATGGACTATTAGTCACTGTCAGTACAATAAGTACTTTGATTTACCTTGTATCTACTGTTATAAGACAGGTCCAGTTCTGTTTCCTCACACCCAAATGACATGCCCGGTGATTTTGTCATCATCTTCAGATAGACTGCCTCGTCTGGCTGGACACGGATGACCAACTCGTTCCGCTTCACTTCACCTGACGGAAAAATATCCCCAGCGACATCCTTGAACTGTATCCTAACCTCAGCTTTTCTCTCATTCAGTGCTGAAAGAAATAAAATCTTATAGAATCATAAAAAGAATGAGGTTCAATTGAGGCCTCTTTTGGCCCTGTGAATTTCTAAAAAATCAGAACTTCTCAGTTTTTATTTCAAAATATGTTAAATTTCACATGGACCCTTGGTGACTGCATATCAATGAAAAAGGACATAACTCTCCCTGTAATCTATGAATTATATCTACATTGAATTGCATCATTTTTTTTATACACCCCGCATGAAAAGCAGGAGGGTATATAGTAAACGTTAATTCCGTCTGTCCGTCTGTACGTCCGTCCATCCGTCTGTTATGCTTTGGGGTACCCATCTCTTATCCTCAACTCCTCTCATACCACTGAATGAATTTTGATGAAACTTTCACAGAATCTTTATTACATATTGCCATTGTGCACCTCCTATTTTACTTTTTGATCCGACACATATTTTGGGTTTCCCGGCCATAGGAAAACATGGACTTTTTCACCAGTTATAACCATGTGGGAGGCGGGGGGTATCATTTAGTGAGCTCATCGTTCACAGTACCTCTAGTTTAATCTTAAAACTGGCCAAAAATTTAAGTTGTTTTTGAAAATTATGCATAGTTACCAACCTCTGATTTAAAATGTTTTTAAAATTATAAAAATGAAAGACAAACAAACATTTATAAGTTATCCCTGTTGTTGATATTAATGATCGATTGACCTTGACCTTACCTTTTCCGCATCTGAGGATGAAAGGTACGCCGTCCCATCTCTCATTGTTCACCTTCAGGACGGCGGTCACAAATGTCGGCGTCGTGGAACCTTAATTAAAAGTTTACATAAAATTAGGAATTACAATAGATAGAAAACTAAAATGTCAAAAATTTTATCGAAGTAGAAGCAGAACAGTGTTTAAAATAACAGTGTATTCGTTTGGTAATCCTTTAAATTAGGGGTTAAATTAGGGGTTAGTTCACCTTTTGGTACATTGAGGGGTTCTTGGGTTTAGTTGACCTTTTACTACAGTGGGGTCCTAAAGTTTAGCTCACATTTTAGTACAGCTGGGTCCTATGGTTTAGGGGTTAGCTCACAGTTTAGCACAATGGGGTCCTCTGGTTAAAGAGGTTAGTTAACATTTGGTATAGTAGGGTTCTTTGGTTTAGCTCACCTTATTGTACGGTGGGGTCCTATGGTTAAGCTCATATTTTAGTACAGTGGGGTTGTCTAGTTTATGTGTTATCTCACCTTTTGGTACGGTTGGGTCCTCCAGGTATCCGATCTTTTCGTCTCCTTCTCCCTCAGGATTTCCCACGTATTGACCCAGCACCACATTATCCAGCTCTATTGGGGAAATGCTCTTTAAAACCTTCACCTATTAACAGAAGTTCAAGGAAAATTTATATATAAATAAAAAAAATGCATTTCTGAGATACAATCATGAAAACGACATTTTTAACTTCTTTAATTGAAATTGTTTATTAATTAAAATCTGACCCTTGAATTTGACCTCTGACCTTTTTAACAATTTTGACCCTGACCTTTTCATTTCTGATGTCTTCTGCAGCAGTGGTTGGTGGCTTCTCCATGGCAACCAAAGTTAGAATCTGTAACAGGTGGTTCTGCATAACATCTCTGTAACCATGGAAACAAATACATCTTTTTTTGCTTATATCATTTAAAACAAATAAAGTCTAATTGGACTCTGTACCAGTCCAGTAATTGACTTGAATGTTAAAATGTTTGCTTTATCAAGCATATGCTGTTGTATGAACTTATCCTGTAATGCTCCTAAAGGACAAAACTAAAATTCAAGGATATAAAGAGGGTAAAGGTCAGGAAAGCATGACAGAGTTGAAATTCCCTTTAAACATCTAACATCTTTGTTTATATTTTATGCAAAAAAATTAACAGGGCTTTTGACACAGACTTATATTTAAGTTAGAAATAAGTGATTGCCAGGTAAAATGGAAATGCAAGGTCATAATAACTTTTCTAAACTTAACCTAGCTTATGGAAATGTGAAGCTTTTGGTCACTTATTCCTTGTACATGTACTTTATTTAATTGTGAACCATAGTGGCACTTATTTCTGATATTTTAATTGTGATGTTTATGATATCTTTTACCTTATAATTCCAAATTCATCAAAGTAGCCTCCCCTTCCCTGGGTTCCGAACGGCTCCTTAAAGCTGATGACGACTGAGGCAATCCCATCTCTGTTCCAAACAGGACTGAAGATCTTGTTAGCAAACCTACGTAAAAACCCCAGAAATAGCTACAAAGCAAACCTACATACAAACAGACATAGCTTTATACAGCAAACTTACAAACAAACAGACATAGCTACATAGCAAACTTACAAACAAACAGACATAGCTACATAGCAAACCTACAAACAAACAGACATAGCTACATAGCAAACCTACAAACAAACAGATATAGCTACATAGCAAACCTACAAACAAACAGACATAGCTATATAGCAAACCTACAAACAAACAGACATAGCTATATAGCAAACCTACAAACAAACAGACAAAGCTACATAGCAAACCTACAAACAGATATAGCTACATAGCAAACCTTCAATCAAACAGACATAGCTACATAGCAAACCTACAAACAGATATAGCTACATAGCAAACCTACAAACAAACAGACATAGCTTTATACAGCAAACTTACAAACAAACAGACATAGCTACATAGCAAACCTACAAACAAACAGACATAGCTACATAGCAAACCTACAAACAAACAGACATAGCTACATAGCAAACCTACAAACAAACAGACATAGCTACATAGCAAACTTACAAACAAACAGACATAGCTACATAGCAAACCTACAAACAGATATAGCTACATAGCAAACCTTCAAACAAACAGACATAGCTATATAGCAAACCTACAAACAAACAGACATAGCTACATAGCAAACCTACAAACAAACAGATATAGCTACATAGCAAACCTACAAACAAACAGACATAGCTATATAGCAAACCTACAAACAAGCAGACATAGCTACATTGCAAACCTACAAACAAACAGATATAGCTACATAGCAAATCTTCAAACAAACAGACATAGCTATATAGCAAACCTACAAATAAACAGACATAGCTTTCTACAGCAAACTTACAAACAAACAGACATAGCTACATAGCAACAATAAACAAACAGACATAGCTACATAGCAAACCTACAAACAGATATAGCTACATAGCAAACCTACAAACAAACAGACATAGCTACATAGCAAACCTACAACAGACATAGCTACATAGCAAACTTACAAACAAACAGACATAGCTACATAGCAAACCTACAAACAGAAATAGCTACATAGAAAACCTACAAACAAACAGACATATTTATTACATTGTACTTAGAAATTTAAACATTTCAAAAAATCTGTAAAATGAGATACTGAGAACTACTCACCTGAGCACCATAAGAACTCACCTGAGCACCATGAGAACTCACCTGAGTACCATGAGAACTACTCACCTGAGCACCACGAGAACTCACCTGAGTACCATGAGAACTACTCATCTGAGCACAAAAAGAACTCACCTGAGCATCATGAGAACTACTCGACTGAGCACCATGAGAACTCACTTGAGCACCATGAGATACTGAGAACGACTCAACTGAGCACTATTAGATACTGAGAACTGCTCACCTAAGCACCATGAGATTCTGGACCATCTCCTTGCCGAGATAATGGTCAATCCTGTAGATTTCCTCCTCTTTGAAGAGAGCTGCCAGGTGATTGGACAGTTGATTGGAGCTGTCTAAATCCTTCCCGAACGGCTTCTCCACAACGACCCGCGTCCACTTATCTCTACAGGGCAATACAAAAACACAATTAATGATTCCATAACCACCCGCGTCCACTTATCTCTACAGGGTTAACGTACATATTCCACAGACTAAAACAAGGCCTTCAGTATCTGTTTAACCATTGTTTTACGTACCCTTCAGACATACAGACGGCCTTGAGATTCAGTGTCACCGACTCGTAGACCGAGGGCGGCAGTGCGAGGTAGAAGATTCGGTTACAGCTGCCTTTATCTTTGATGGCTTTGTTCAGGCGGGAGAACCCCTCCGGTTTGTCGTAACTCCCGGCGATGTACTCATTGACCTTGAAGAATTCCTCCAACTTCTGCTTCTCATCATCCTTGACCTTTAAAAGATTGACCTTCAACTGAATCTCAAAAATGATCTTTTTTTCCATGAACATCAACAGAATATATTTATATTTTTGAAATTTGCATTGTTTTGGTGAAATTGTTTTTACATGGAGTTTTTCAAAATTTGACGCTTATCTCTTATTCTGCACATAATTGATAATTTGTTTATTGTTGAGAAGGTAATTAATGGAGAGAGTGTTTTTTTGTATAAATCAAAGCATGTGGGAAGAAGGACGATTGCTAGTCACGAATTTCTGCACTTTCTTGCTTAATCATGTTGATTTACAAAAGTCTGATTGTACGTATACCTCGTGTCATTTTGACCTGACCATTGTGATGCCTAAGTGTTCTAACCTTCATAAATGGCAGAGCTTTCTGTCGGATGTCGTCTACCGTCATCTTGCTGCGGGCGTAGCCAATAAAGTAAGTTTCCTTTGGAACCAGTCCATCGCGGTATAACCACCTGTCAGCGAGTTAAAAATAAACATTAGACAATCTGCCGAGTAGCCAGAATTTCATCCCGTAACATCCACATCAGTTACGTGGGGTAAATTACTAAATCCACTAAACTTACCATAGTGTGTGGTAAATTACTAAATCCACTAAAACTTACCATAGTGTGGGGTAAATTTTCTTCTTGGCCAAATCTCCCTGTAATAAAGACGGAAAATTAAATAACATATCATATGAGGACAACAGTTTCTGTTAAAATATAAAATCTGAAAAAAGATGACTATAAGCATGATAAGGCCAAATTGTAAAGTTTTCTATCATGACATTTTGTGTATACAGTTACTTTGTATGATAATTATACGCCCCGCTTGAAAAGCGGGAGGGTATATAGTGATCGTTAATTCCGTCCGTCCGTCTGTTCGCTTTGGGGTACCCATCTCTTATCCGCAACTCCTCTTATACTACTGGATGAAATTTGATAAATCTTTCACAGAATCTTTATTACATATTGCCATTGTGCACCTCCTATTTTACTTTTTGATCCGACACATATTTTGGGTTTCCCAAAGCAAAACATGGAAATGCCATTTATACACATATGGGAGGCGGGGGGTATCATTTAGTGAGCCTATTGCTTACAGTACCTCTAGTTTTTTTTTATTATTTACATCCTGTTTATTTCCCAAGAGCGGAATGTCATTATTCCTGCCTTTACTGAATTTATTTTTTGTTTCAGAGACTTGTGGCTCTTTATAACTTTACATGAAGAAGGAATAGTGAATACATCGTCTTTTTATACCCCCTGCTTGAAAAGCGGAAGGGTATATAGTAATCGTTAATTCGTCCGTCCGTCTGTACGTCCGTCTGTCTGTTACGCTTTGGGGTACCCATCTCTTATCCGCAACTCCTCTCATACCACTGAATGAAATTTGATGAAACTTTCACTGAATCTTTATTACATATTGCCATTGTGCACCTCCTATTTTACTTTTTGATCCGACACATATTTTGGGTTTCCCGGCCACAGGAAAACATGGACTTTTTCACCAGTTATAACCATATGGGAAGCGGGGGGTATCATTTAGTGAGCTCATCGCTCACAGTACCTCTAGTTAAATCATATAATCTATAACCCACCCATCCCCCACCCCCCAACATGCAAATTAAATCTATAAAATCCCATCATGCAAATTCAAGTTAATGATTAGAACAGAGTTTTTTCACACAGAAAAAAATTTGATAATTACACATCCATAGTCATGATCGTCAACCCTATAAATTAAGTTTAATTATCTAATGATTGATTACCTCTCTATCTGTAGACCTTGTAAATAATATTGATTTTCCTCTTTTTTAATTTGAATTTTATTTGATACATGACATTTTGTTTGATTGATTCACTGAAAAACAATTGTGAATACTTAAACATTAATATTCCACTCTTTGGTTGTTTGTACAGAAATTAATTCAGCACCTGTTGCTGAAAACATCCATAACCTGCATAATAGCTGCAACATTAATTCTCCTAGTTACAGCAAAAGAAAGACATTTATTGATTATTCTTATATCTGTTAAAAAAGCCATCTAGGTTATGAAGGATTACTTAGATTAAGTATTGTATTACTGATATGTACATGTACATCTATCATTATTAATAGGTTTCATTAATAGAACAAGCATGCACTGCTAAGAAATCAGTTAGGACATGATAGCTAGACATGTGACCAATCAGCAGGGGATACTCACTCCTCCATGGCACCTGATCCCACCTCTGATGTTTTCGAGGTCCGTGTGTTTGCTCTGCTCCTATTTTGTATTATTTTATGGACTTCAGCTCAAAATACTGTTCATTATCTCCATATGTTACATGTTTAAAAGAATTAAGTAACAGCATAAACAACACATCTAGTCACTAAAAATTTATAGTGAAAATTAAAATTTAACATGGTCTTTATAAATACTTGAACAAGATGAGGAGATATAGGTAGTGGTGATATGTACATCGTGTGTACTTCCTTCTGAGTCAGTGTATATTTTACCAGGGTTCAGTGCGAGAGTTTGTAAACACTGAATCAGACGAGAATCACTTCCTTGTCAGTCAGAACAGATACATTCATTTCACAGTGGATCTACACACTTAGGTACTACTTACACAACAAACGGATAAACTCACCAGATAGAAAAACAAAGATCAGAATTTTTTTTTTCACTTTGAAAAAAATGTTAGACTTGAAAGAAATAAAGTAAGTCCTGTTAAAATAACTTGACAGTATCATTGACACTAACAAAATGTTACCAGTAGGTCAGGTTTTTGTATAAATTAATTCATTAAATTTTCAGAACAAAACCAGCCGTTTTTTGTGGGGAGGGGGACTACTTTTTGTAAAATGTTTGTCACTCAAAAAGAAAAATTTCTCTCTAGGCCTATATTATTATTAAATCCCCCCCCCCCCCGTTTGAAAAGCGGGAGGGTATAAATAATAGTTATTGTTATGTCCGTCCGTCTGTCTGTACATCCCTCTGTTACACTTTTCCCAGAGCAAAACATGGACACTGCCAATATTTCATGTGGGAGGTGGGGGTATCATTTAGTGAGCTCATTGCTCACAGTAGCTCTAGTCTACCTGTATTCTTTTTCTTGGGGGTGGGGGGGGGGATTACTTTTTGTAAAATGTTTGTCACGCATAGAAAGAATAATTTTCTCTCTAGGCCTTTAAAATCTACCTGTATTTTTGTTTCATGTCAAAAGCATGACTCACTCAGTGATCAAGTTAAAATGAGGTGTAAGCACAGAAACCTCTATACCTGACTGGGTATCACATTTTATAACATGCAATGTTAAAAGTTCATAATAAGTGTAAACTTCAGGTGTAAGCTAATTTTCTCCAGGTATTTGATACCTAGTATCTCCTGGTCTAGTATTGCTAGCCCATTGTGACAGGTTAACTGACTTCAGATATATAGGGTCAAGAACACTAAATCTTTCAGACCCATTACCTGACAAAATATTCAATGCAATAATGAGCAGGTAGAGGGACGGGGACTGATAAAGGAGGACAAATGGCTGGGCAGAAAACCCCCCAAACTCTTGTAGATCCTTCCAAAATGTACTCTATAGTTAAAATGGTAATCTTCATTATGGTAATCAGCTTGAATCAGAGTAAATTGTGTATGATGAATGGGTGGATCCAGGAATTTTTACAATAATAAGGGGGGATTTGTTCCAATTATTATTAACTAAAAAAAAATTTGACACTTGCTTGTGAGTCGTGGATAGGAAAAAACTTTTAATTATTATAGACCTATACAACTAAATTATACAACTAAATTTCAAATCAATTGGAAAATAATTTGATCCATTATATCAGACTTGCTAGCTGTTCTCTTCACTCTGCTTTTGTAATTGTCACAGGGTGAATTATAATTAATTAGTTAATATTACTAATTATCATTCATATAATTTTCATATCTTATTATAAGGCATCATATTATTATAGTAACTAGTGAATTCCGTCATCACTACGGAATTTACTACGTTCATTCACTGCCTTATTCATTCATTCATTCATTTATACGGGTGAGTGGTCAGTGAGAGTATTCGGGTGTGTGAGTGGTTAAACAGGTTTTTCTATGTCTACTGCGCATTCGTGCCAATACTAACTCCTCGAGCACTCCAACCTTAGACTTTGGGGAGGGAAGACGTTCTCTCTCCCCAACACAACTTTATATCTTATGATATTGTGGCACAAGTCTAGAACTACGGTAAGAAATAATTGTTAAATTATTTCTTAGTATTCAAGTATTATTCAGTATCTTTTTGATCATTTTATTTATCTGAAGTGAATTTCTAAATTATCTAAATTCTTAAGATTTAAATTAATTCGCGTAAAAGTGTGTGTGAGGTGAGAAATATTAAATACATGTTTTATTATATTGCAGATCACCCTTTTTCTATTATTACGTAAAATATATAAAATATCGAACCCAGCAGCTACCAACAACTAAACTACATAGACTAGGCTGTGACATAATTAATCAAATAGGAGATATCACTAATATACAAAAAATGTAAACAAAACTAGCTCTCCCCCCACCCCCCTCTCTCTAGATCTACCAGTAAAATTAAAGACCCTTGAATGGGACTTCCTGATTCAACAAAAGAGCATCAAGATTTAAACAATTCATGCAAATTTACTTTGTCTGAATACACTAAAAGTTGGGAATAAATCTTTCATAAAAATCTTTAAAATTTGACTGATGTCGGTGTCAGATTGTGTTAATTTACTAAATGAATAAAACATGTAGTGACAATGTAAACAATCTCTTTATCGGTAAAAAATTAGGACATTGATTCAAACATCAATTTAAGTCATTTGCAAAATTAAAAAAAATGCAAAGTGTTTGTCACTAGCTGATAAAAATATCAGACAATCGCTTTCATTGCACACTACTTAGCATAACACCTTTTGTAAATATAGTATGCACAGAATATCAGTGTGTCATGCCCTATGGATATAAACTATGCACGTGCATGTCAGCGCGCGTTTGACAGGGTGCAGACTTACCGAGGCTCCTAATATGACAAACACGTGCGATGCCCCCGTGCCCTCATATCGAAGGCTTTCCCTCAGTAACGACAGGGCGTCCAGTTTCCCTCGCTCTGACATTCTTGTTTGCCTGCTGCCGAATACAGGAAGTGACCCATGTTCTCCACTCAACCGGAAAAGGGGCGTGTCTTTTCCCACATTAGCATGTTTCAGTTTGTACTCCCTATACATGACAATCATTCAATATTAATAATCACAAACACTGCAGCCAGATAGTACAAGCGATAGCTTATGCCGACTGCTTACATGTTCGCATAGAAAATGAAATATTTTCCGAGCTCTAAATTAATACAAAATCAATAGCGATTATAGTTTATCCACTGGCATTAATATAGTTAATGATTTTCCCCATGTCACGAAAAAGTGTTTCAACTTTCAGTTCTTTTTTTTTTTATCCAGACATGTCTTCATTATTTACTGTATTTCGTTGTGCTTGGTAAAGTTAATTGATTAATTAATTAAAGCGGCACAGTGAGTCAAAATCATATCTTAATTTTAAGATATCTGTAGCATACAGAGAAAGACTTATGAAAATTATGAGTATATAGCGAAGATATGACAATTAAACTGCAAGAATTGACTGCACAATATAAGTGCCGGAAAAACAAAGGTTGTATCTACCGTTTCGTTGTTTCGTATATGTCAAGGTCACGCAACTCTTATTTTTAGCTCAAACTTGTAAACAACATTCAACTGGAGCATACAAAGGTGAGAAATATGTTATAACAACTTTTTTTAAAAAGATTAAATCAAATTTTTTGGTCTTCTTACATAGTTCTATTGCACACAGAGAGCCGCCATATTGATTTACCTATTTATGTATGCGTGTCAAAGGTCATAGGGGAAAAACCAGCGTAAACAATATGGATGCCACTTGTTGATGTTGCGAATTTCTGTTACCTTTTTCGATATTTTACTGGATTTTTGATACGTTTTACACACATATATTGACACAATTTTTCCACATAATGGACACAGAGGACAAGACTGAATTACAGGACCATGAGCATGATGAGGACTCGGCAGTTTTATCAATAAACCAATGTAAACATAACCTGACTGCATGAGCTTCGCGAGTTATCATTAGGGCCTGTATCAGTGTATGAAAACTGCCTGGCAAGATTCAAAGCTTGGAATGGAGAATTGGGCATCAACTTTCATCACCGATTTATAACAGTGTTTTTAATGAGGTATATATCCAGTAAATTAAAATTTTATTTAATAGACATTACAAAAAAGATATCAACTTTGATTATGAATACACATAATACAGAAATACAGTATGTGACTTTCAAGATGGTTTTGTAGCAAGTATAAATTTAATGAGCTGCAATATTTAGCAGTATGATCAGTAATCAAGCTTTATTATGGTTTCATTTGCTTTTCCATCACTTCTGAAGATATATACTTGTGTACATAATTTCATATGAGTGATTATTTTGGTAAGGTATGAGACAGAAAAAGAGGGCAAAGAAACATTAAACCGGTGTAAAGTTGGGAAGGCCTACCAGTACTTCCAGAGCCAGTGACTGTCACTGAAAGAAGTGTTTTACCACCCTATTGACAGAACCAGTCCATACTGCTTTCTGTGTGCCGCATGTACCCCTCACAGAGCCTGTGTTCTGAGCCTCATACAGTGTAAGTTTGTAGTTAAATTAATATAACTGTTTCTCTGTACAAGACCTCACCACATCGGGTGCGTGAACAGCATGGTGAGCATGACATACATGTATGGTGGTGCTTTGCACCACCTCGCTATTATTGCTTATTATTTCCTCAGGGTTGAAATACCAGTAGAGTTATATATTTTTTTCTCTTATAACATGTTAAAGTACAGGTTCAATTCACTTCATACATGTTAAAATTGATATTGACCATCTGTGTGTTGAAATACTCAAAGACACAGTGATTTGCTGGAAAAAAATTTATATTTTTGTTTCTCAAATGATAGTTGAATGCTTAATAATATGACATGTACAATACATTCAGTACTTTTGAGTTTACCTTGCAATGGGGTTGAATGGTCAGTAGCTCTTTATCCCACTGAATCTCCATCAATATTTTAAAACTATTATAAATAATTCAAAATTACTTTCAAGTCTGGATCCTTCTTCTTGTAAAAGTGTATTTTTAATTATTGCTTTCTTCTGCTCTCAAATATAGGTTTGGACAAACATGTACCAATCATGTTGCAGGATTAAGGATAGTGAGGAGGACAACTTTTAAGCAACCTTTTCAGATGCATTTAGAGAAACCTTACCCGATGCTTGTTTATTTAAAGACAACAGATTACAATTCAATCTGTATCATATCATATATTATACATATATTACATGGCTTTGAGGGCAGCATACCAGAATATTTGCCCCGAGGTGACAGGAAAGCCCTGGAGTGTGGCATCGGGCGACATAACACTCCAGGGCTTTCCTGTCACCTCGGGGCAAATATTCTGGTATTGCTGCCCGAGAATTAAGCCATGTAATATATGGTATATAACATTTTTAAGCATTGAACCCAAATCGATCATTGAATATATTTATTGAACAGTATGTACACATATGTACGTTGAGTAAAATTCCGAAATATTCCGTCCTGTTTCATGCCAGAATGTTTTCAGTATGCTGACACTTGTGTTGATAACCTTTGTTGTATTTAAAGAATTTTTCTCCCCAATTAAATTATCTAATTCCTCTGAATTCAAATAAACAAATCGCAGACGTTAATTCCGCGTTGCCTTGACTTTTAAACTTTCGCGGAACTGTTTACATTTGCTTGGCAACTGCCTCTGTGAATTTCGAACCCGACGTAATTAATATGCAGAATGATTGCACGCGAGGGAACATAACTGTGTTCGGGAGGGCAACATAACCGTTTCCGGGGAACATAACTGTATCCAGTGTGATTCGGCAGTATTTCAGGGCATATGGATAAAAATATTATATTTGTGATATAACGGGAAAACTTCTTCAAAAATGTTATATATATATTTATTAATCATGATAATCATGAAGGTTCTATTTTTTCACCATTGATAGAAATCTCTACCCCAAATTTGAATAATTCATCTCAATCATCAAGGTTCCTCAGTGAATAATAAAACAAAAACCAGCAGGATGAATCAACAACTATTTGAACTTATTCTTAAGCTTTTTATATTAAGTTAAACAGTTAAATTATTTAGTAATGATTTATGCCTGGTATAATGTGTTAAATTTCATTATAGGTCTAGATGTTGATCCACCTCACCAAGCCAAGGGGAAGGAACCACATGCTTCCGGAGCAGATATGATTGAGGAGGATTGCTTACAGATCGACATCCAACAATACTACATGAAATCTATGTTATCATCATTTGAACAATCTAACACTAGCATCAAGATCCATCCCTTTACCATTATATAAGTAACAGTACTAAAGCTCAATCTTCCAATAGTTGGAGTCTACATTTTTTATTGTGGTTAATATGCATATTTACCTGTGAATTTTCCATTTCTGGGCTATATATGTTTTATTTTTAAATAATATTTGTCTCAAATAAACTGCTATTAATATACCTGTATTTTACTGAATTTAAGTAACAAAGGGTTGCCTTTATAAACAGTATCACACAAGTTTGTAATAGATTGACTGTTAATTTAAAAAAAATACACATTCTCAGGTCAAATGTCTGATTTCACAATCTTCTTACATGGGTCTGATAGGTGATATTTCAAACTGAATTTAAGGAAAAAGATTATTTGTCATATTTAGTGTACTACATTTAGATATAAGTACCATAAAATGTGAACTTTCTCAGAATGACATTAACAATGTCAACAATGTATTGACAAATGCGTAATGCATATATTAAAGCATTGTCATATACTGATTTCATGTTTGTTATAGCAAAATTTTAAAATATAAATGTTTCCAAAGAGGAAAAAAATCCTCAAAGCTTATTTTTTTTACCATTTTAATCATACCTAGGAAGGTTCATACTTCATGTAAGAAGTCACGAAATGAGATGAAATGGGTTGGTGGGTGGGGCAATTGTCCAAGACAGTGCTTCTGATAGAGTCAGCGGCATTTGTCCAAGACAGACCTTCTGGTAGAGTCAGCAGCATTGAGCAGCATTTCTCCAAGACAGACCTTCCGGTAGAGTCAACGGCATTTAGCGGCATTTGTCCAACACAGACCTTCTGGTAGAGTCAGCGGCATTAAGCGGCATTTGTCCAAGACAGACCTTCTGGTAGAGTCAGCGGCATTTCTCCAAGACACACCTTCTGGTAGAGTCAGCGGCATTTAGCGGCATTTGTCCAACACAGACCTTCTGGTAGAGTCAGCGGCATTTAGCGGCATTTCTCCAAAACAGACCTTCTGGTAGAGTCAGCGGCATTTAGCGGCATTTCTCCAAGACACACCTTCTGGTAGAGTCAGCGGCATTTAGCGGCATTTGTCCAAGACAGACCTTCTGGTAGAGTCAGCGGCATTTAGCGGCATTTCTCCAAAACAGACCTTCTGGTAGAGTCAGCGGCATTTAGCGGCATTTTTCCAAGACAGACCTTCTGGTAGAGTCAGCGGCATTTGTCCAACACAGACCTTCTGGTAGAGTCAGCGGCATTTAGCGGCATTTCTCCAAAACAGACATTCTGGTAGAGTCAGCGGCATTTAGTGGCATTTTTCCAAGACAGTGCTTCTGACAACATTTAGAGAATTTGTTTAACAAGATTGAGTGCTTTAATTCCTTTCTCCTTTATTTTCAGTAAATTCCTTCATCTTGAAAAAGATGTAGGACTCAGGAATAAACAAGTCCATAAATACTGTTTTGTATATATCATAGATAAAACAATCTTAATTACAGTTTAATCTGTTTTTTTTCCCATGGATTTACTGATATACAGTAATTAATGGAGAGATGGTTTACAATTTTATGTATGAAACATACTTAAATAGTATAATATTTGTTTTTCCTTAATGGCGGGGACTTGCTCAATTAGTAATATTTATATTTTTTTCATTAGTTTGATGGTATTTCCAGTATTATTCTAAAAATATTACCCGGTAATTAAATATCAGTTTAAATTGTACAAAGAGCTCTTTGTACTTTGGTAGTATCTTTGAAAATAATTCAATTAACAGCTTTATTTAGGACAGCACTAGCCATAAGTATCATGCTGATTAGCATTTTGCAGTTATTGATATCTTGCAGTCAGATACAGACAAAATTACCACCAATATAACAAAACAGAAGATGATTAGGGAAAAGGTGTTAAACATCTGGCTTCATGCATTTGATATTGCTCCCGCCACAGCTCAATTATGTGATTATGACTATTAAATTTGAAGTACCCCATGTATAACATATTAATTATTAAGTTATATTTATGAAAATATGTCAAATAAAATACTAAATAAAGAAAATAATGTAATTACTCCATAAATTACAGTAACAGAAGAAGCTTTAATGTTTCAATATTATCTCATTATAAGTAGCTGTGTCTTAATTTATTCAACAAATAAACCCTATGAGCATAGTATGCGACTGTGTTAAACTATTTTTATCGATAAAGTTAGAAAGAAAAGACTGTCAGAAGCACACCATGCAAAGTTGAAATTATTTTTTTCAAGACCGATTTGTAAAAGGCCAGTAAAGGATTCTCTACAAAAACTTTCATGCGCTGATTTTAGAGGAATACATTGTCTATTGATTTAATCATGCAGCTTATTCCGTAAAAGATATAAAACTGGGATAGGTTAACATTTTACAATCATGCAGCTTAGGCCATAATAAATAAATTGCTAGATTCCCATCCAGTTTTTTTTTTTAAAAATCAAGGCTGGCGGCCGGCTTTTATTTTATACTTTTTATTTTTTCAATTTCAAAGATTTTTATTGACCTGGTCATTCGGTGTAATTTTATCTACAATACCTGAATAAAGGTCATAGTAAAGGTTCAATTATCTCCTACTTCACATCATCACCAATCTTTTTCAACCAATGACCCTTGTTTAAAATATAGGGCTTATACGTATTACAGCAATTACTATCTTTTCAGTCGTCAAAATCATATCAACTTTCGCAAAATTTAAAACGAAAGTAGAATGGTAGATGGATACCGATCCCGATGAGAATTAAGACGAAGAAAAAAATCGAGGCGGGGATATAAATTCAGGGTGGGCAGGGATGAGAATCTAGAAATATTTTTATCATGGCCAATATTCAGTAAAAGATATAAAATTCGGATAGGTTAAAATTCTGTAATCATGCAGCTTATTCCGTAAAAGATATAAAATGCAGCTTATTCCATAAAAGATATAAAACTAGGATAGGTTAACATTTTATACTGATGCAGCTTATTCCGTAAAAGATAGGTTAGCAATTTGTAATCATGCAGCTTATTCCGTAAAACATATAAAATGCAGCTTATTCCGTAACAGATATAAAATTGAGATACATTTTATAATCATGCAGCTTATTCCGTAAAACATATAAAATGCAGCTTATTCCGTAAAAGATATAAAATTGGGATACATTTTATAATCATGCAGCTTATTCCGTAAAAGATTTAAAATGCAGCTTATTCCGTGAAAGATATAAAACTGGAATAGGTGAACATTTTAAAATCATACAGCTTATTCCATAAAAGATATAAAATGCAGCTTATTCCGTGAAAGATATGAAACTGGGATATGTTAACATTTTATAATCATGCACTTTATTTCGTAAATTCTTTTATTAAAATGCAGCTTATTCCATAAAAGATATAAAAATGGGATAGGTTAACATTTTAAAATCATACAGCTTATTCCATAAAAGATACAAAATGCAGCTTATTCCGTAAAAAATATAAAAGATGCAGCTTATTCCGTAAAAGATATAAAACTGGGATAGGTTAGCAATTTGTAATCATGCAGCTTATTCCGTAAAAGATATAAAATTGGGATACATTTTATAATCATGCAGCTTATTCCATAAAAGATTTAAAATGAGCTTATTCCGTGAAAGATATAAAACTGGATTAGGTGAACATTTTAAAATCATGCAGTTTATTCCATAAAAGATATAAAATGCAGCTTATTCCGTGAAAGATATGAAACTGGGATATGTTAACATTTTATTATCATGCAGTTTATTTCGTAATTTTTTTTTATTAAATGCAGCTTATTCCATAAAAGATATAAAAATGGGATGGGTTAACATTTTATAACCATGCAGCTTATTCCGTAAAAGATTTAAATGCAGCTTATTAGTCAGTGGATTGATTTAGTATGTAAATTCTAACATTTAATCATTCATGAAATT